TGCCAGAACCGTTGTTCCGGTGTTTTTCCATGAGAGTATCTCTCCGCGCGGTGCAGCTCTGCCGGCTCGGATCGATCGTCGTCCTCCGCCCACGAGACCAGGGACGACCGAGGGCGCTTACGGACCACGTCACCCTCCCGAACACATCGACAACACACTCACATGGAATAGGGTCCACACGTCGAAGCTACTTACGTCGAGGTGGACGCACCTGGCGACCGCACATTTTCCCAGCCCGTGGTCCACGGACCTCCGCGACGAGGTGAACGAGCACTGGGTCTCCCGTGTTCCCTGAGGTGGCTACGACGCACTCGGAGGCTCGCAACCCCCGCGACATGGGGTTGGCTAGCCGGCCCACCTTCCACGCGGTTGGCTGCAACCACCAGCACTAGCCAGAGCCACGAGTCGTGCCGCGGACACGCGCAATCCGCTCGACACCCTCCTCGCCTTGCTATCGCTCTCGAAGATGATTTCCCACCAACCTTTCTCTCTCTCTCTCTCTCTCTCTCTCTCTCTCTCTGTGCCTCACACACACACACACACACACTCTCTCTCTCTCTCTCTTTCGCTCTGTCTCTCTCTCTATTTATCTCTGTTCCTCTCCGCCTCTCCTTTTTCTTTCTCTTTCTCTTGGGGTTGCTATTGTGTCACGTTTTGTCTTTGTTCTACGACGACGCCGCTCCCTCGGATGGATGGATGGATGGATGGTTGGTTGGTTGGTTGGTTGGTTGCTTGCCTGCTTGCTTCCTTGATTTGCCGACGATCCCCTGTTTTTCTCCTTTGTTAGCCGCGTGACGGTGTCATCGACAGGTCACGCGAGACCTGCTGCTACAGGCGGGTTCAAAGGCAGGTGTTTAGATGGATGGAGACGCGTGCTCTCAACCAGGGGAACCTAGCGGAGAAGTGATGCAGTGCAGACGTTATTGCTCGTGCGGAATTTGTTCGAGCGGACTTCTTTGTAGACGTTTCGCAGATCGTTCTGTAGAACGTAGAATGGGAGGACGTTTGGTAAACTAATTAAAGCTAGTGGGAGGAACATTTGTTTTAGCTAGTGGCGAATGGCTTCTGGTTAGCGTGGAGGAAGAAGCATATCGATCAGCAATATCGTCAACATAACTTCTACGTGAAATAGAAATTTGAAATTGATGTGTTGTACGAATTTGAGTTTGTAAATGAAAAACATCGGTGTGCAACTATCGTTGGATGATCCTATCGTCCAACAAATCCTTTCAGGCCACGTCAAGCAAGCTCGCGTCAACTCTGTCCGGTAAATGTCGCGAAGGCGGAAAAGTGGGTTGAGATAGAATCGGACACTTATATTTCAAAGGGTTGAAACGCGTTTATCCGCAGTGTGTTAGCTTGTGTCTATAGCTTGGAAGATGCTCGACAAAACTAGTCAATCAGATTTTAAGCGTCTTTTATTACCGCAAGAATATAGCGAGTCGAGGTTACAGTAAATTCTCCCTAATTGACGCTCAGTTTGTACGCGAAAGTGGACAATTTGGGAAAAGGAGATGCGATTGTTCGAGCTTCGCGGCTCGTTTTCATAGTTACCGGTTGTCGACAATTATAAAAATGAGCCGTAAAGCTCGAATAATCGTATCTTATCTTCCCAAATTGTCCATTTTTGTGCTCGATCTGAGCATCAATTAGAGAGAATTTATCGAACACAGAAGTCGAAGGAACCGCGATTTCTGTGAAACAAGTATATCCTTTAACTATTCTTGGATCTACAGCAAAAGTTTTCCGAATCGAACTCGAAAAATTGCTTTCGGTTCGTGTTTCTACGATTTCAGACGAACGCGGCGAATGTTGACCGATGTAATCGATATATCGAGTGCTCCATTATTATGGGAAGTCGTTTTGGTGATGAGCCAGTCGAAGTAGGTCACACGTACTATGGGTCACCCTATACAAACATTTTATCCTGGTGTTCGACCGTTGCGTGGCTGAACGTGCGACGGAGAGATAGGGGCTGGGTCATTTTGAACCCATAATACGTTCCGTTATCAGCGGGTCTGACAGTGCCACTTTCTTTTTTACTGAAACGCCGAGCCGCGTTTGCATTTTTTTCCCCCGCGGAATAAAAGAAACGCATTACTTTAATCTCGGACCTTTTTTTCACNTCTCTCTCTCTCTCTCTCTCTCTCTCTCTCTCTGTGCCTCACACACACACACACACACACTCTCTCTCTCTCTCTCTTTCGCTCTGTCTCTCTCTCTATTTATCTCTGTTCCTCTCCGCCTCTCCTTTTTCTTTCTCTTTCTCTTGGGGTTGCTATTGTGTCACGTTTTGTCTTTGTTCTACGACGACGCCGCTCCCTCGGATGGATGGATGGATGGATGGTTGGTTGGTTGGTTGGTTGGTTGCTTGCCTGCTTGCTTCCTTGATTTGCCGACGATCCCCTGTTTTTCTCCTTTGTTAGCCGCGTGACGGTGTCATCGACAGGTCACGCGAGACCTGCTGCTACAGGCGGGTTCAAAGGCAGGTGTTTAGATGGATGGAGACGCGTGCTCTCAACCAGGGGAACCTAGCGGAGAAGTGATGCAGTGCAGACGTTATTGCTCGTGCGGAATTTGTTCGAGCGGACTTCTTTGTAGACGTTTCGCAGATCGTTCTGTAGAACGTAGAATGGGAGGACGTTTGGTAAACTAATTAAAGCTAGTGGGAGGAACATTTGTTTTAGCTAGTGGCGAATGGCTTCTGGTTAGCGTGGAGGAAGAAGCATATCGATCAGCAATATCGTCAACATAACTTCTACGTGAAATAGAAATTTGAAATTGATGTGTTGTACGAATTTGAGTTTGTAAATGAAAAACATCGGTGTGCAACTATCGTTGGATGATCCTATCGTCCAACAAATCCTTTCAGGCCACGTCAAGCAAGCTCGCGTCAACTCTGTCCGGTAAATGTCGCGAAGGCGGAAAAGTGGGTTGAGATAGAATCGGACACTTATATTTCAAAGGGTTGAAACGCGTTTATCCGCAGTGTGTTAGCTTGTGTCTATAGCTTGGAAGATGCTCGACAAAACTAGTCAATCAGATTTTAAGCGTCTTTTATTACCGCAAGAATATAGCGAGTCGAGGTTACAGTAAATTCTCCCTAATTGACGCTCAGTTTGTACGCGAAAGTGGACAATTTGGGAAAAGGAGATGCGATTGTTCGAGCTTCGCGGCTCGTTTTCATAGTTACCGGTTGTCGACAATTATAAAAATGAGCCGTAAAGCTCGAATAATCGTATCTTATCTTCCCAAATTGTCCATTTTTGTGCTCGATCTGAGCATCAATTAGAGAGAATTTATCGAACACAGAAGTCGAAGGAACCGCGATTTCTGTGAAACAAGTATATCCTTTAACTATTCTTGGATCTACAGCAAAAGTTTTCCGAATCGAACTCGAAAAATTGCTTTCGGTTCGTGTTTCTACGATTTCAGACGAACGCGGCGAATGTTGACCGATGTAATCGATATATCGAGTGCTCCATTATTATGGGAAGTCGTTTTGGTGATGAGCCAGTCGAAGTAGGTCACACGTACTATGGGTCACCCTATACAAACATTTTATCCTGGTGTTCGACCGTTGCGTGGCTGAACGTGCGACGGAGAGATAGGGGCTGGGTCATTTTGAACCCATAATACGTTCCGTTATCAGCGGGTCTGACAGTGCCACTTTCTTTTTTACTGAAACGCCGAGCCGCGTTTGCATTTTTTTCCCCCGCGGAATAAAAGAAACGCATTACTTTAATCTCGGACCTTTTTTTCACACTCGGAGACGCGACCGATTTCTTATCCCCGTGGGATTTGAAAAGTGGACGACACGTTCTCCCGTCTCTCTGTCGTAGCGTATGCAAACGAGCGGATATTTTACGCGTGCTCTGGCAATCTGATCTTTTCGAAAATCGAAATTGGAGATTTTACGTGTCGGACATTTTTTTGTGAACATTACTGCGCGGACGGTAACTCAGGCTGAAATGTGCGTTTTTATCAACGATCGCGGGAACATAAGTACCGTGCACTTGTCACGAGAAAAGTGTTTCGGCTTAAAACGAAACGATTCGAGTTAGTGGTATGAGTAATCATCGATTTATAACAATGAACGACAACTACTGAAACGTAAGCTGTACATTTTTGTAAATTTATGCCATTATGCAAATTGCTAGAATATAAGAAAACTTGTGCACCGATAAAAATTAATTAGCTTTTACTCAATGATACAACTTCGTCAACATTTTCAATTTCAATGTTCCGGCTAGATATAGTTAAGAATCGCGTAACGATTTATAACAATGAATAAAATTAGAAAAATCTAACTAACAAAGCACTCTCGTTAGCGCGGCCGCCAACGGAGAGCATATTCTCCTGATTACGCTTTCTCCTCGTGAATAAAGATTACGCGTTTGCATAAACATTAACACGAGGACTTACTCGGCAATCATCGCAGCAATTTTTCTCCGCTCGTGCCTGAAACGCGAGTAAGCTTTCCTCTTTCACCGCACTATAGAAATTTCCGACTACGAGTTAGTCACTGCGCGATAAGCTCACTGTGAATAATTCCTTTCCGAGAAGTTCTGGATTCCCGGGAACACCGGCGAAAAACCGAACAACAAAGCGAATCACTATTTTCCTGGACACGCTGCTGCCGGAAGGACGATGCGTTTCCTCGTGTTACAATTTCACTGACCGCGGCGGCTACCGTAAGTGTCTTTCTCCCGTCGTGCCCGACGACCGACTGATTGTGAAACACATTACGCACAGTCGTCTACCTCGGACATGCAGCGATAAGGAATAATCAGTAAAAGCAGTGGCACTTAATCCGGCAAGCAGATAATTCCTGCCGCTCGTTATGCGCGCCGTTTACGATCCGAGCGGCATGAATCATTCGCGCCTCGCGCACACAGACCGCCCAAATACCGATCAACCGATTGCCGTTCCTAGCAGCGCAGGCTGACGATCGAACGGCAAGAATCATTCGATCTTTGCCCACATTAAACACTGATTACCTGGCGCACGTGCTCCGCCGGCGGTGTTTCGTGTTCTGGCGATACCAGGTGTCGTTTCTCGATGATCGAGCGTCATTCGGAACGATGACTAACGTCGCTGCACAGTTAGCTTCCACGAAGATTGCCATTGCCCCGGCAAGTGTCCTTCTGAAACGAGAAATACTGTTGCAGAAAAGGTGTTCCCTGTTTGAACAGTTATCATCTGTTTGTACTACCAGTTTTCCTTGCCGCGAACGCTGTCGGACGACCGTTTGTTTCTGCGGTCTTTCTTTTCCGATTCTGGAAAACTGAGGAGTCCGCGAGTCTCGTGAGTGGACTGTGGATTTTTGCGCAAATTTTGTTCAATTTGATCGACGAGAAATGAGACGTTTACAGTAAAAGTGTTGTAAGTTTGCTAGTTTGACTTAATATTGTTAAATTATATTTAGTTTAATGTTTAATTTGATCTCTTTTATTATTTGAAGTTAAAGCTTGAAAGTAGCTTACGTAAAAGTAACAATTATGAATGTCATTGAATTTTACAGAATTTTTAATTCATTCTTTATTATTCGCAAATTAACTTTTCCGAGTTACACCGTTCCCGTTTTCAACGGCTCGAATTTTTACTGTTTCCAGGAAATTGAGAAGCAGAAAGACTCGTTAAGACGGCAAAATTAAAAGAAATCAATTGAAAAGGAACGATTTATTAAAATTATTGACGAAGGAAAGTTCGTGTCGTGGAATTAATACAATCTCTGTTATGAACAAAAATCCGCAGTCTACTTATGAATATAATGCAGATCTTTATGAACAGTCACAACATCTAACTCTTATCTGTTTACGTAAGATTTCTGAAACAATTGTAAGAGATAACATTCAAATAGAAATTCATTTCTTCCTCCGAGTTTAACAAGTGGAACGAAGTACAATGGTGCTCCCATCTTGACCTATATTTTCCCAAAAGTTTACGAATCCTCATTCTATGTACCAGACAATCAATGTTTATATGAATTTGTGAAAATTTGCAGTCCGCTTATTTAACGTCGCAATTAAATAACACGGAACGCTTAAGTACGTCTCTACGAAAAATAGAACGGAGGTGATTGTGAAACAGCATTGTGAAACATTCTGTTCGATTTTCCATCTTCCTTACTTTCGACAAAGATCCTGAGACACCGTGTTCGAGTGAAAACGACGCCGAATGCCGGAAACGCAGCGCTGCGGGAGCGGCTAAAAAATTGATCCTCCATGCGAACCAACGTTTTATTAGCCTCCAGTGGTTCTTAAAAAATATCGACAGCGTCCAGCGACGGAATATCCTTTATCCGTCGATCGAGCCGACACTCCAACGAGATTACCATTCCAGTTGAATGTCGATTCGGAAATGAAGGTTCACGGAGTGCTTCGACCCACGCTCGAAGCTCCAGCTCGTTTTGTTGGCTGAAACAACGGTTCCGCGACGTGAAACTGGAAAAAAAGAAGAAAAAGGAAAGCAGGAAGAATAGAGAAAAACAGAAAGGCGGGTGAAAAAAAAATAGTTACAATCGGAGAGACAGGGAAGGACAATCCCTTTTGTTTCTATTCATCCGCTTCGACCGGCCGAGGAACGCGCGGAACGGATCAAAATCGGAAATCCGTTCTACGGTCATATTTTTGCACGGCCTTTTTTTGTCGGCGGGAAATTAATATCTGCAGGATTCTCGTGAAATTCCGCCCGAGACTGCATAGAGATCGTGACTAAAATGATCGACACGATCGATCGTCGCTGCGGCACGTCCGCCATTTTCTTGCTCGCGAGGCGACCATCATAAAATCGTCGCGCGTGTTGTACGCGTTATTTTTCTGTGGGGAAGGTGAACATTTCTGTCAACTTTTTCCTTGCTTCAACTAATTCTCTTTTGTTCTCTTTTCTGATCGTCTTTTTGCAACCGATTTTGCCTTTCGAATAATTCATAAAATCGCAAAATTCTGCAAAAACCTCAACGGTTTATGCATTCCCTTCGAAACGGTGCATTCCCGCCGGATGATCTCTGCAAAAATTTCTCACCCTCCTGACGAATAGACCCACGTTGACGTAAGCAAAAATTTGACAACAAATACTTTGATAGGATCTCCAGAAATAATCGTGCGAAATATCCGTGGGAATTGCTCCGAGAGCAACGCGCCGCTCGGAATTCCGTGAACCATCGTTTTCCACTTGTACATGTATGGTTGTCTTTTTTGCGGGTTTTTTTATTTAAAAAAATACAGGTCGAGTACGTGATACCACGATCCATCTGGCTCCGACCGCGGCCGCTTAGCGACCGGAAGTTCATCCTCCGGGCACGGACGAACGCGAACTGTCGGGATCTAGAGTTTCTATTCCAAGGGATCGATCGTCGATCGAATGGATTGTCGGCCTGGCTCTACATTGCTAATTAGAAAGACTGCTTCGTTCGAACAATAGATATTTGACTGGGAAATTCTGGTAATAAGTTCAAAAGAAATTGCCAACCGTTGCGATACGATCGTCAACGATAATCGGTAGCTGCCTCGCCATTCCGTCTGATCACATTTAAATGTGCACTTGCAGTTGACAACCTTTCGTTCCCGTTGCCCTAACAATCTACAACGTTGCTTTCATCTGCGCGTAACCATTATAAAGAATTCATTGGGGAAATGCATTGTGCCGCCGTTATTGTTAGAACCTCGGGCATTGATTGCAGCAATCCTCGACGGTCTCCGGCGTACCGAAATGATTAAGCAACAAAGAGAACCCGTCGAATTTCAGTTATTATCGCATCGTTATCAATTTTGAAGAGATCTCTCAATTTTCACGTTACAGAATCTTGCTGTTTAACTGTTTCGAAACGTCTCCGCAAGATCTCAAACAACAACGTCCGGGTCTGGCGCAAATAAAAGCTGCATTCACGAGCAAACCAGAATGAAAAAATTCGGGCAACCTAACGAAAGTACAACGAATACCTATGCGAAACGTCGAACCAATCAATTGCACCTTTTCGTTTGAAATAAATCGCGGGAGTACAGATATTCCCACGTAATGAAATCAAGTTGCTCGGAAACGCGTCGATGCAAAAGCTTGCGACTGGCTTTGTCAAAAATGGTTTATTATCAGTATTTGTTGTTTGTACGCGTCGATCATGTCCGTGCGACCTCCGATCCCGACAATTCGTCGTTCGCCCCTGCGTGGGTGATACAAGTTACATTACGCGCCGACTGCGGATGTCTATGCGTGTCGGAAATCTCTGAAACAGAACGGAACTCGAATTCCCGTCTAGCCTAACGCTCGCATGGCTTTCGGTGGGTTTCTCTCGGTCCTAGAAGAATCCTGGTTGCGGTCGAATGTAACGCGAAAACTGGTGAAACGCGAAGCATACGTGGTTCACTTTCAGAACCAGCCTCTCTGCACGCGAATCTGTAAAAACGGCTGCAGAAACATCCGCAGTCCGGTTTCTGTATTTCCTCCACACAGTGGATTCTCAAAAAATGAACACTTCTTTTCAGGACACGGCTGCACCTTCGTCGAGCAGCGAGAACCTTCAGATTGTCGGGAAAACGGTGAAGGGGGGGCCGCCCCCCCGATTCGCCGGTAGTTCGTGTCGACGAACTACCACGAGGAGATTGTTTAACATTCAAGATTCGGGGAACTGCAAAATTCGTGGAAGTTTCTAATTCAATTTCGCGCGGCCGAGATTTCGCTCCAGGAAGTTCCCGAAATCGTGGAAAGTGTGTACCGTGGAGAGAGATCGAGCCTCGTCCGTCACTTGCGTCGATTAGCCAAATTTTCTGAAGAAGAAGCAGCTTTCGCGCGATCTTGTGGCAACTCTACACTTTCAATGGATGTACGCTCACAAATTAAATTACAGTGAAACGGCATTTGTATCGAAAGTTGGATCGTTGTCCTGTTTCATTTTCTTGCTCTTTCAATAATTCCATGCAATTCTAACTGAATTCTAGATCGTTGAAGTTCGTCGGCTAAGAATTTACTAGTGCAACGGTACTGCACGGATTTATTATAAAGCCAAAGGAAATTTATACGATACGCCAAAGGAAATTATAGTAATCACCAAACTAGGATCTTTGTGCAAAATTTAACATTGCCTGCAATAATTGTAAGTAGCAGTAGTCGCTTTGAAGCTTCGTTCTTTCTTTAAGAATTTTACTAGATTCTTTTTAAATTACGCAGACTATTTAATCGATTACCGTCACGACAAACATATTACGGTGCTCTAAATTTTAGAGTCTGAAAGGACGGATGAGGATTACGACGTAGAATCTAAGTAACCAGAATTTTTGTGGAGTAGTATTAACAGGACAATTTGTATTTAGAAAAGGTCTCCAAAAGCCGATGATAATGATTGAAAAGCGCAATCCCTTTCACAGTTCATCATGCTGGCTGCTCAACGGAAGGTCTCAGCGTGTACAATGGCGTTTTAGGAACAGTCAATGAGAAGTCGATTGCAAGAATACGGGGAAAGAAACAAAAGAACGATTCGTATCTCGACGATCCTTTCGATGGGAGACGACAAAAAGTTCGTGTGTTCTGCGTGTGTGTTAACGTGTGTACGCGTGTGTGTCCGTCCATGTACAGGTCGCTGAATACAATGATTACAGCGATGGCATGAGGCTCATACAATAAGGCTTATCGAATAAGCAATCAACAATCGAACTCCGTGTGAAGATTAGGCAACGCACTCGCACATACCTGCCGTAATAATAATCGACACAATAATTACGAATTAATACGTGAATCGGTGACAATAATAGCAATAATTAGTCGCCAAACGCTCTCTCTCGCTCTCTCTCTCTCTTTCTCTCTTTCAGACGCACGCATACTCTCTTTCTCTAGCGATATGTTAGTCCAAAGAATGTTCTACCACTTCCGTATAAACACAGTGACATTGAAACATCGTCGTTCGTATTATGCGTACAAATTAATTAATTATATTTATATATTTATATATGTATATATATATACGCAGGGTGTCCCATAATACGCAGCACCTTCTTCCATTTTCGAAAACGATCAAACAAATCTTTACGTCCCATCGTGCTTCCGCGAATCGAGTTTCCGGTGTCCGGAAACAGAAGTGAATCACTATATGACCGTACGCTCGTGGCCTCATTTAGGTCACTATATTTCCAAGTAATGACTCAATGAACAATTATATACACTTTAGACTAATTTATAAATCAACTGACATCATTCGCGAGCTTCCGAATCTCATCTAGCATATTTGTATATTATTAATCGCCGAAGTCGGTCCAACGTATTATGCGACACTCTGCATACCTATAATATAAAACATTTGAAAAAATCACAGTTACTTAAAAAACATCTTAGTACACCGCTTTCTGTATTTTCTACTCTCGTTCACTGATCTTTCGTCCGCTCGCATGCTTTCTCCATTTTGTTTTGTTAATATTGTGGACAACAAATGGCCCACGGTTCAACTACGTACAATCCATAACTCGATCATTTTTAATTAGCCGATATAAAAAAATATCTTTCCTTGCGTCTTTCGCAATTGAAGGAAGAAAGCAAAAGTTTGCCCTTTTATTAAATTAGATATATATTTATATATTATCGAATAAAAAATCTCGAATTAACAAAAAACATAAACGAAAGAGATTCCCTTTCGAGATTCTCTATTTAATAAACACGAATTCAAGTTCCATTCATTTTGTACAAACGTTGTAAATGCCAGACGTAAGACTAGACGACACATTTTTGTCGAGGGGCCAGTTATCGTCCAGGGACCAAAAGCTCCGTCCCAGCGCGAACGAGAATCGTCGAACAATTGAAAAAATGTAATTCGCGAGTCGCCAAGCACGCCAGCGGCTCCATCCACGCGAAAGTCGACATTGCAATGGAAAACAGAGACTACAAAGCGACCAAGCATTCCTCTAAGCCGCGCCATTTTTGTTCCGGACCACGTTTTCGTTTCGTTTTTTACCACCGTTCTTTCCGCGCGTAATCGTTATCGCGAGCAACACGCAAAACTTCCATACATTCCACTCTGTGCACAAGAGAAAAAAAATCGAACTCTCTTTCTCGCTCTCTGTTCCTAGTGTTAACCGGAAGTTCGAATGGAGACCTCGAAAATTTACGTTCAATTAAACCGTGGCGAATCGTTTCTTTCAGATTTCTGCTCTCCACACTTTCCAAACGAAACGGCGAAGAATAAAATTCACGTTCCGAGTCGTTCGAACAGTTGATTTGCAGCACAATGAATTCAATCATAATAATAATATTCTCACGGTATATTCTCCACGATAAGGAATCGCCGATCGATAACCGATTCCGAGTTTATTGCACCGGATCTTTCGTACATTTCGCTACAGCTGAAAAATCTACTTTCGTTGCGGACACCGGTCGTTTTATACTTTCATCGCAGACACGGATACAGAATGCCCCGTGGGGCCTGTCTGGCCCCGGGAGCAACGAAGCCACGCCCATTCGCGCAACCGAACGCAGTGGTAGCAAGAGAAATATCAGGAGTACTTTTAAGATTAAAAGTCGAAGGTACAAATTGGTTTCCGTCAAGCTTCCTCGATCGCTGACATAATCTCGCCTCGAGAGACGAACTAAAGCGCCCCGCTGCCCTAACGTGTACGACACATGGCAGTTGAATTCCCGCGACAAGAAAATGAGCACTACGGACAGGGGTTAAAGCGACGATAATCGATAACGCAGTTTCGTCGATGATGCCTGACCTAAAAAGAAGCGAATTCCGGGCACGAAGATGCTCAGCTCTGACAGCGCGTTATGCAACGCGTGGGAAGGTGGACTTTTAATCGCTTCGTCACGCGCTAATTACTTATTTACTTTGCCGGCTGATAAACCGTTGCACACTGTCTCCTCGATCCCGATCGCGCCACGAACGATTCATGGCCGCGCAAAGCGCCTAAGCCCTACCCGCGCAAAACATGGCAACACGCTCGTTGACAATAAAAGGAAGTATAAAAAAAAATATGAAAAAAAATGAATTTATTAGTTCGTATCTAAAGCTTAGTTCGAAACTAAATAAGTCGATTCGTGCGCACGATCGGTCGGCGACAAAGCAATTTCGGTCGACGATCGATCTAATTGATTCAATTTAATTGCTAAATTTTGTTCGCTGTTCTTCACAGGGGGATTCAATAATACGGATAATTGTTGACTCGCAAGCGCGATCATTGATATTTAGCCGATATCGGTTCTTTTTTTCGAGTCGAAACAGCAACGTTCCACACGACTCGGATCACTATCAAAATTTCGGAACGTGAACGAGGTTCGCTTTTTATGTTCGTTCTTCTGTTAACAACAATGTTCGAAGTTTGGGTGCACCAAAAAGTAATCCGATACATCGCGATCTAAACGTTTTCAAAGAGCGGCTTCGATGTTTTTATTTCAAAGAAAGTCTCGTGCATTTTCTCCCTTACATTTATAAACTCTGTTTAACAGAATTGAATTCTATCCTTTGACGAAAGTTTTCGATAATATTGTGGAAGTGGTTTACTCGTTGGTACACTGAACAACGTGTATACATTCGAGGACTAGTTTCCGGAAGTACCACACGAATCGTCGAATTCCTACCAGCGGGATCTTTTGCTACGCAAACGATGACGATTCTTCTCAATACGAAACGAAAGTGAGAGTGTAACTTTGTTAAATTTCAGCGACCGGTCGCGACTGACCACGGCCGAACATACGCGGAAGAAAGTCCGTAAGGCAGTGACAGACCTTCGACGTTGAAGTCAGAAACACTTAAGTACTAATCGTCGTGACGTGAAGTCAATCTGATCGAGAGTGACGAGAAATACGGCTCCTAACCGGAAATTAAACTACGAAGAGCAACGAGCCTCCGATCGAACGATCGACGAATGGGAACGCGCTGCCAAACTCATCGAATGATTGCGATGATTCCGAAGATGTTTGCCTTCTGGACAGCGGACGTTTGCACACTCGAGTGAACACGGTAAATAAATTTCGCTATTCGACCTGATGAAGTTTCTAAGGAAAATCATGTTGTTTCTGTGAATCAGTCTTCGAGACCATAATTTGCGCAAACGCCCGCTGTCTGTCGACATGTACTGCGATTGGTACCCGATAAATTCCGATTGATCGTTTTTGTTAATAAAGTAACGGAAAACAAGAGAGAGAGAGAGAGAGAGAGAGAGAGAGAGAGACAGAGAGAGAGAGACAGAGAGAGAGAGAGAGAGAGAGAGAGAGAGAGAGACAGAGACAGAGAGAGAGAGAGGAAGAGAGAGAAACGTGTTTTTTTACAAAGTATATAGTGTTTCGAGATCAAGTCGGAATTTATCGGGAATTGTAAAGCTTTATTAGCTATTTTCAGAACTGAAAATCATCACCTAACGTTCGTTAACTCGAAACGAAGTAGTTATTGCATTCCCTGGCAGTGTTGAGACGAAGCGTAAACGAAACTCGTACGAAACTAGAAGCATATGACAATAAGATTTGAACGAGCTGAAACATCGAAGAAATCGGATGGATGGTCACGACATGCGCAGCCCAGCGTAATTAGAGAATAATCGTGATTGGGTCGAATTTGTTAATAGTTTTTCCAAGTGTTTTGACATCGAGGAAAATAGTACGGTTATATATTCTATACCCAAGCTGTAACTCTCTGATTATTCTAGGCAAAGAGAGAAAGAGAGAGAGAGAGAGAGAGAGAGAGAGAGAGAGAGAGAGAGAAAGAGAGAGAATTACTATTGATACGAATTAAACAACAATAGTTCTTCGTAAAAGAATTTCTCGGTTGATGTACTAGGGGACAACTTGAACAATAATTGAAACTTTAGAATTTGTCACGGGGAATACTTGAATTCCATTTTTGTAAAATAAAATGGCAATGATTGGGGCAGAGAAAATGGTCAAAAAAAGAAAGTCTTATTTCTCAAATATTGGAACTCAAGTTATCAGTCAGGGAGAAAAGTCTGCTGCCATTGGAGAACAGATGGAAGGTGCTATAACGCAAGTACGATGCGAATCATTTGAAACAAATGAAATAATAATCTAAATTTGTAGTACGAAAAGAGCATGAGCTCAGCCTAATTACTAGTTGATATGCAATGAGAACAGGCCACCGGTAACACAATATCAATCTATAAAATTCTTCATTATTTGACCGAATAATTTTTATGTATTCAATGGAAAACATAAATATCACATGTCACGCGTTTCGAGTTTGGCAATTAATTATCACGTGCCTTGTTTTGTTTTTCGAATGGTAACGAATGCAGAGTGATTCGTTCGTAGATCAATCTGTAGATCGTTCTACGAAGAAAATGCGAAATGAAGCTACCATGAAATTTGTCCAACACGCGCCTGTGTGTTGTTTCTCTTTGTAAAAGTTGTTCTCTTTGTTACTTTTAAGTCTGCAGAATGATTCTTATCGCTGAAGAGACTATTTTATAATCGAGAATAAAACGATAATCAACTACCAACAGCTGCGTGGTTCTTTCACATAAATATACAAAATATAAAAGTACTTTTGCTCACAGGTTGCTACCTAAGTTGTTGCATATGTCACTTGTTCGGTTTAATGCCATTTCGTGCTACGTTAAACTTTCAACATACCGTTGTCCTTGATTAACGATTTGCCCCGTAGAAAATAATGTCATCGAAATAATCTGTCATTCCTCACCGACTCCGTCGCACTGCGAAAATAATTAGTACCACAGTTAGTGACCTTTTTTGTGGACAGTCCTCACTGATAAAACAACAACCGCAGATCACAAACGGCGAAATCTGCACGTCTCGTCTGCGATAACTAAATACCTTTCTACTCGCTTAAAAAAGAAATAATAAATTTCGAAGTAATTATACTCTTCTATAAACTATAAACTATACAATGTCCAACTCCTTCCGATTTCTATCTAATTCCAGTTGCCAGAATCAGCTTAGAAGTCTAAAGTTTTTTTTTTTAAAGCTGTGTTCGATCTGTAACTAAAACGCCCGCAGACACTCTGCAATCCTCATCAAATAACCATGAAAATCGCCGCAACGTCGCTCGTTAAAGGTATTGTCTGTTTTCAATCGTGTTGTCATTAGACTGCGGAAACTTATGCGTTCACAAAATGAAATTACAATGGACACCGCTGAACAATGTTCAATAATCGTATCATTTTTAAGAGACCGAATCTTACTCAATTTCAGTTAATTGTTTCATTTTGTCAGAATTTGCACGTTCTTGCAACGAAAATATATGTCTTATTGAATTGCTCTAGTAATTTTAGAGTGTGAACGAATGAGACCCGCAGTTCAATCATGCTATACGATACAATCGAGTAACTCATCAACGACCGCATGATCCGGCAACGCCCGGCAGACATGTTGCATCGAAGATTCACTGCCCGCACTGGATCAGCTCGAAGAATATATTCCGACAATGATCACAATGAAGTCGTAATACAAATATATATGTTTATATGTGTATGTATGTATATAAAGAATTTTTAAGTAGCACGAGCACGCCGACAACCACCGAACGGCGACGGCGTCCCGTGTCCCAGCCATCGAACGAGTCACATTTTAATACGAAAAAAATTATACTCGAGAGCCGACACATTATTATCACCTAGATATAGCCTATCTAAATACTTCCTTACACGCTAAATGTTTCGCTCCAAAAGCCGAGGATAAAAAAACGCGCCAGTGATGGCAGTCAACTTCATCGTCCCTTCTCTTCATCTTCATCATTTTCTCCCTTATTTTTTTGTGGGTTTTTATCTCCGTTTTGTTTTGCGAGTCAAATCGCTTCTGCGGGTTCCCGTGGGCCATCGCGAATGACTGATCACGGAAACAGCATCACGCGACTGATAAGAACATCGATCCAAAGAGCTATTTTTTGTCTCATTAACGCTAGATTATGTACAAATCTTTTTCTATATATTACACGACGATCTCGACCCGCCGGGAGAGATTTCTGTTTCTTTCTTTTCTGTTTTGGCCGACGGGTCCGGCAGTAAAGGAATGGTGTCAGGTGGCCGTTCGCACCTTCCCTTAGGAGAGGACGTTCACCTCACGCGGCGAGCCGCACACGTTTAGCACGCTGCTCGTCGAGTTAGGCGTGATCTGACTTCGGGCCTCGTTTTGTGCCTGCCGTATCGCCTCCTTGTACGGCCCCCTTTTCTTCTTGTTGTACCGTGTCTGTAACACAAGCCAACAATCATGAAAATCAGCCGGTGTCTTCGCATTCGACCCCGAAACATTAAAAATCTACAGTGTAAGTTCTGCGAATCATGGTAAACGGTGAAACATTTGGCAAGAGAAATTGTTTCTTTGCAAGCTGTCAGGTTCCATTGTTTGCCAAATTTGATTCAAGGACGCTTTCGACTCCCTTACTCGGCTCTAAATCTTCAAAAGGCTCTTTTGTTCACACCTCGTGAGTCAGGAACTTTCCTCACCTTGAACGTCTCTAAAAATGGACTCAGCTGATCACACGACATCAAAGAACTCGTCGAGGAACCATACCAAGCGACGTGGGCCTGGGGTCCAGATGAAGTGCCATCTTCTTTACAAGAAACCGTGATACTAAGAACCTGCAACAATAACACAATGCCACTGTAACATACAACTTGGATACATAACTCTTAAGTTACAGTCCTGATTATACTGTAGATATTTATGTGACGTTAGTATTCAGTCTAGATGCAACAAAGACAGTAACGAATACATCGACGACTTGACACGCACCTTCCCAGGCCACCAAGGGAACCCATGGATTTTTCCCCACACGACATCACCGACGTCCATTCTTCTGCCGTTGGCCGTGAGGCAATGCTCAACAGGAGTTGCAGCGAGTCGCATCATGAGAGGATGGGACTGCGGGGGGAAGTCAGGTGCAGTTTCTCCGGCATCCACCTCGGGTTCCTGTTCGCTGAGCTCGTCACTGCTCGCACCAGGACTCTTGCAGCCGGAGGACGCGTTGCTGACAGGGTAGTCGCATCTGGCGTACGCGTTTGTATTTAATCTCTTCAGGGATATGGACAACTTCTGCTTGAGGCACTGCTCCTTTATGGCTGTATACGACTCGCTACCCGGCAACACGTTCCAATTCTGTTGGTTCTCCGTAGTCGTCTCGAGACATGGCTGCTGAGGCGCCTGCTGTTGACTCTTATGCTTCCTGTCCTCCTTGTGTTTCTTTTTATGCTTCACTTTATGTTTGCGACGGTGATACGATAGACTGTCGAAGGTGGAATTGTATCTGGAAATGAAATTGATGAATTAGAAAACGTTGGATCTGATGTAGCATAAATTAGAAGATGTTGGATACTACAAAGAGTCTTAGGACTAAAGACAAAGCTACGACTTAAAACTATCCTTTCGAGAAACCCGTACCTTGGCGATCCATTGCATGGCGACCTGGCAGGTGAAACACCTCCCAGCATTTTTCTCCTGGCCTCCTTCTTGGCCTTCTTCAGCGCCCGCTTCGCTGCCTTCGCGCTGGCGTCCTTGACTCCCTGCTTCTGAGGATCAACCTGCTCCTGGCCATCTTCCTCGCAGTCTTCACGGTAATCGTACTCGTTCTCGAAGGTTCTGGGCAACTCCAGCGGGTCCCTCTCGGCCTCGTTTTGCGCGTCCTCCGCCTCGTCCGTTTCCTGCTCGTACTCCGGATCTTGTATCTTCGAGGGTATCTTGAGGACGGTGCCCTCCCCTTGCGCGCCAAACGAGATTTTAATGACCGGCGTGGTCCTGGCTGTCCTGGTCGGATCTTCGAACACGGTTTCGTCCCAGAGGTCCTCCATCGAACCGACCGACCGCTTCTTTCGCGGTACCCGTCCCGCTCGTGGCCTCATCGTCGAGTCTGCCGCCGCGAACGTCTTCTTCTCGTCCTCTTCAGGGATCTTCGCGCTCTCTACAGATGAACTGCTGAGCCTTCTGGGCGTGGCACAATACGCCATCGACGGATTACTGTCACAATCCGTCGACTCCATCCGCTCCTCCGTCGGCTCCAACGCATTCACCGAAGATCCACCTGCTTCCCGTCGGTTGTTCCAATAGGACGGGGCGATCTTCACCTTTTCTGCAATCGAAACGATCATAAGAACTCGATTCTAAGCATTGGTGCAGAAAACGAGTAAGTGGGGCCTAAGGTATGCTAACAACATTTGTTTCCCCGTGTACATATCTCCATTGTTAAAATGTTTTATTAAACACGACGTATCTTCTTAATGAACCATTAACCTCTAGACATGTAAAATGTGTCAATAAAATGAATGTGTGTAAATAAGGCATGTAAAGTGCGTTAATAAAATGAATGTCTGTATATAAAGTGCGTAAAATGTATTTCGAATGACACCGTAACGCGTTGGTGTTAAATGTCATTTAACGTCATCAGCAAATATTTCCAGTAACTTGTCTATTATCGTCTCAGTAAAAATGCTTTCTTCAGCTTACACAAATGACAGATTAAAATTCGAATTTTATTTAGCTCGTGTGCCGAGGAGCTGGAAATATTTACATCTGTAGATTTCTTGAATGCATATTATGAGCTGAGACTGCGAATAGCGGTGCGCGTAGAATTAATTAAGAATTGGCTATATTTAAGTATTTAAATCTATTCTGTATGCACGTTGTTGTTCAAAATTATAACACATCGTGTTCCGAGTGTTCGGCTTGTATGAAAATGATCTTATTTATACGTTACAAAGGGGTACGTTGCATTTAATGAATTGTTGAAACTACGAAGACCGTTGTCCAGAAAGGCTGGTAACAATTATGTTCAAATAATGAAGACGTTGAAAGACTTCGACATTTTAATGGAGGATGACGATATGAGTGGATTTTTTGCATTTCTGATAAAATTGAGTAGAAAAGATTCATTGTTTTCCACATAAAGAAGTTTCCAATTTAGAAAATTGCAGATGCTATTTAACTGTATATTGATGAACCTTGGCGTTTCGCAGCATTGGAGGTACCCGCAGCAAGCGCCTAATTATAATTGATTACCCTCATATACGGTGTTGGTTCGGTGGCAGAGATAAAAGAAATGGCGGGTTTACATGGAAAGATCAACTAACCGGTTCCCTGTGTGGCGTTATTGATCTCGTTCGGCTGGAGTCTCGAGATTTTGGGTATGAGAGACGGTGCTAGCTTCGACGAGTCGGGGCTCAAAGCCGACGACGACGAGGATTTTGTTGGCTGATGGGAAGACTCTGTGATGTTTTCAGACTGACATTCGGAGAACAGTATTCTCGAGGCTTTTTGCGGCTGCTGGCCGCAACGACGATCGCTTCTTCTCGTCGATCCATGACCGGTCACCTAATCGAATTGAAGCGTCAAGTATTTTACTTTCTTCTCTCTCCCTCTCTGCCCCTTTCCCACTGAACGGGAAGCGTGGGCGTCTGCTCTTCGATTTAAACCCTACAATCTACCCGCGAGACCCTTTCACGAAATAAAATTGCCAAATATCCAGTCGATCGTAGCAAGAAAGTAAATAAAAACATTCGTACAATTAACAAGCCATATCTTTTTTTATTCCGCGAATAATTCAGGTCCGAGCTAGTAAACAGTTTATTTTAGTGTCAAAATATTACCAAGAGGCAATTTGAATATTATTAGAACAAATCTTGTATAATAGACGCAGGAAGGTGTGTAATATAGGGCAAGCTGCCACGTTGGACATGAATTAGGTGTAACATAATCGTGTTTCGTAAGGCAACAATGTTAAGCGCTACATTGCCTTCAGAGAAGGTCTCGTATGATTTCTACGTAACCCGGAGAGCTGAATTCGCTTTACTGAATTCCCGTTTCGCACGGCAACTTGGTAATCTTCGTTCACTAAAGGCAATTGATGACCGAATACATATTGAATACATATTGTAGCAATTCGTTTGAATCAATAATCCATTCGAGATAACAAAACTCCCGATGGAGAAGTAGACATATAAATTTCCGTTTAATAAATTCTTGACTTCTATTAATTCAATTAATTCTATCTTCATCTTAATTCAATTAATTCTCTCTCTCTATCTTTATCGTAATTCAATAAATTCTCTCTCTCTCTTGACTTCCCTTATTTCAATTTATTCTTTCTCTATCTTAATTCAATAAATTCTTTCTTTATTTAAATTCAATAAATTCTCTCTCTCTCTCTCTCTCTCTCTCTTATTTTCTTTTAATTCAATATATTCTCTTCATTTATCTTAATGCAATAAATACTTCGTTTATATCAATTCAATCAATCGTTGACTTTGTTCTTTTCTCGATTCAATTAATAAGAAACGCATTTGACAAATTTCCTGGATAAGAATCTCATGTATTTATATAAAATAGTAAAAGTATCACAAGAATCAAAAAATATATATCTTCAAATTATTTGCAAGTTGCTAAAATCGTTAATGGAAGAAATAAACGTGTATGCAGCTTCTGTTGTTTACAATTAACGCAGAAAGCTTTCATTCCCCATAAAATTCCGCGGTTTATGTGTCGCAAAAGTGTGTTTTAATTCCAATAATCACAGACTAAAATCTCTCAGGCTAGTATACCGTCGGAAAATTTTTCCTGCGCACGAAAATCCGTAATTTATCCATCACAAAGGCGTCTTTCTAATTCTAACAAAGATAAAATAAAAAACAAAATCTGGCAGTGATACTTTCAGAAAATTTTTACTCTCCGCGAAAGTTCGCAGTTTAAACATCAAAGGCGTCTCTCTCTCTCTCTCTCTCTCTCTCTCTCTCTCTCTCTTATTCCAACAATCGCGGACTAAAAAAAAACTGTAAGACCCAGTACTTTCAGAAAATGTCCTCTCTGCAGAAAAGTCAGCAGTTTATGCAACACAAAAGGGTCTTTCTAATTCCAATAATCGCAGAATGAAAAGTCCGTGCGCAGTTTTGGCGTGACCCGGGGCACGGCAGTCCGAGCGTTAATGAACGGCAAACGAGTTCCTCGTGGCGCGAAATGAATGGAACGTCGCGCCGGTAAAAACACCGTTAGAAAAACCAAAAGCGTACTCCACCTGTTGTTGCTGCGGCTGCTGGTGCTCCGGCTGGTGCTCGTCGTGCTTCCGTTTCCGGCTGACGTCGACGTTCTCGCTGTTCTCGTTGCAGATCGATCTGCACTTGCTGCAGAGCACCTGCCGCGGCCTGAGCCTGACCGTCGGTCGTGCATTCTTGTACCTGGCTGGCGGGTTAATGTTCCTTCGGAGATCGACTTTGGCAGTGGCCAGCGAGCTGCTACTTCGCTCCTGAAAGTAGCTGAAACGGGCCGCGATCGTCGCCAGCTTGTCGCCATCGGGATCTGGCACCGGTTCCGGAGGCTGTACACCACAGGGGAGGCCCCTGTAACAGAAACAATGGAAAACGATTCGTTAACATCTTGTTCTTTGTTGCGATCGAGCCGTCGTAATATCGTGAAACACGATTTTTTTTCTTCGCTGCGACGCCAAACCTGCGGCGACTGATTTCAAAACGACCGGCTTCGCGTTTCTTATTCGAAGCGCATTGAAATTACGAAGACCCTCTCATAGGAAACGACTGAATGAACTACTCAATTCGAGCACGCGCTGTAATCAAAGCGGCGAAAGGTCTTCTTAATAAATTCAGTCTTGTCATCCTTATAAAGCAACGCGCGTCGGTCGCTTTTCGAGCGTGGGTTCAGCGTCAACACTTCGAGTGTCANGGAAGAAATAAACGTGTATGCAGCTTCTGTTGTTTACAATTAACGCAGAAAGCTTTCATTCCCCATAAAATTCCGCGGTTTATGTGTCGCAAAAGTGTGTTTTAATTCCAATAATCACAGACTAAAATCTCTCAGGCTAGTATACCGTCGGAAAATTTTTCCTGCGCACGAAAATCCGTAATTTATCCATCACAAAGGCGTCTTTCTAATTCTAACAAAGATAAAATAAAAAACAAAATCTGGCAGTGATACTTTCAGAAAATTTTTACTCTCCGCGAAAGTTCGCAGTTTAAACATCAAAGGCGTCTCTCTCTCTCTCTCTCTCTCTCTCTCTCTCTCTCTCTTATTCCAACAATCGCGGACTAAAAAAAAACTGTAAGACCCAGTACTTTCAGAAAATGTCCTCTCTGCAGAAAAGTCAGCAGTTTATGCAACACAAAAGGGTCTTTCTAATTCCAATAATCGCAGAATGAAAAGTCCGTGCGCAGTTTTGGCGTGACCCGGGGCACGGCAGTCCGAGCGTTAATGAACGGCAAACGAGTTCCTCGTGGCGCGAAATGAATGGAACGTCGCGCCGGTAAAAACACCGTTAGAAAAACCAAAAGCGTACTCCACCTGTTGTTGCTGCGGCTGCTGGTGCTCCGGCTGGTGCTCGTCGTGCTTCCGTTTCCGGCTGACGTCGACGTTCTCGCTGTTCTCGTTGCAGATCGATCTGCACTTGCTGCAGAGCACCTGCCGCGGCCTGAGCCTGACCGTCGGTCGTGCATTCTTGTACCTGGCTGGCGGGTTAATGTTCCTTCGGAGATCGACTTTGGCAGTGGCCAGCGAGCTGCTACTTCGCTCCTGAAAGTAGCTGAAACGGGCCGCGATCGTCGCCAGCTTGTCGCCATCGGGATCTGGCACCGGTTCCGGAGGCTGTACACCACAGGGGAGGCCCCTGTAACAGAAACAATGGAAAACGATTCGTTAACATCTTGTTCTTTGTTGCGATCGAGCCGTCGTAATATCGTGAAACACGATTTTTTTTCTTCGCTGCGACGCCAAACCTGCGGCGACTGATTTCAAAACGACCGGCTTCGCGTTTCTTATTCGAAGCGCATTGAAATTACGAAGACCCTCTCATAGGAAACGACTGAATGAACTACTCAATTCGAGCACGCGCTGTAATCAAAGCGGCGAAAGGTCTTCTTAATAAATTCAGTCTTGTCATCCTTATAAAGCAACGCGCGTCGGTCGCTTTTCGAGCGTGGGTTCAGCGTCAACACTTCGAGTGTCACGAATGTGAGGTGACACAGATTCTTGATCGAACTTGGCGATCGGTTTTGATTGAGATTCGTTAAGTACATCAAGCTTTGTTACAAAGTTAATCGTTGTAATTGAACTCTGCTTCTTCTATACGATGAATGAACTGCTTTGATTTTGTAAAAATTTATGGGTACTTGTGTCGCAGTCGACGCGACAATTAAGGAAAGAGTTTCGACGTCTCCGGGCAATTTCTATTGTTATTTTCAATGGTCGAGGTAACAAGAAGCGTTCTAATGACGTGGAAAACTTACGTGGAAAACTTACAAGAGAAAACATATCGAGGCGACACGCGCCGATTTTGGTGAAACTTTGGGAAAATGTGTCATTGTTTAATGTACCTCTCGAACAGATCAAGATATTGAAAATCGGGTTCAGCAACTGAATTCCTAATTAAGAAACGCACAACTTTGAAATTTGAACCGTTCTTCCAACTCTAATGATTTTCGAGATATTCGAACAAATGTGCTTCCAACCCCCAACTATCGCAACTGTTTTCGCCCATAAAATGTAAACGAAGACCGATAAAAAAAATATGTGTCGAATATTTGTCTAAGAACACTACCCTTTTTCAAAGACTATTATAACAGTATGTTCCCTTGCTAATCAAGATATGATAAATTAAATCAAGATATTAACACCTGACGCAAGCGTTCCATATTTGGTCCCACTTGTGTCACTTTGCTGTAAATTCAATAGCGAAGACCGTTCCAATCGTAAAACTGCAGTTATGCCGAAAGCGAATTCCGACGAATTCACTCCTTTCCCGCAACGAAAACAGGTATTCGCTCGCGTAAAATGATAAAACAACGCGGTAATGTTAGGTTGCGTTATAATTAGACGGTGGATATCTTCACGTATTTATAAACGTTGTTGCACGATGTCTAGCAAAATGAAAATGTTACGTTCACGGAGTTGACGATGCTCTAGGAAAATGCGCGCTCATTTCCCCGGGGCAATTCCATCGAATCCAAGATAAAAGACCGAAACGTTGCAGTGTCCTGCAATGACAAATGAAATCTTGACGAACGCTCGCTCATTTGGCTAGGAAGGGAGCCGATTTGCAGAACAGCTCGGAGCTCGTGCGAGCCGAGGGAGAAAGAGCAGCGCGTGTCCGCGGCCGCGATCGCTATTGAAAACCGTGGCTGTCGCTCACGTGTTGCCTATACCCGAGCAACGTTCGGGGAAAGAGCGGCGTGTGAAATATTCAGGAAAACCGCGATGCGTCGGCCGAGATAAAGGGATCAGGAACGTGCGCGTTTAACGGAACGTAAGAGGGAAATGATATCGATCCACTCAGATCGAATCGCGGTAAGATAATGAAAACCTTTCGTAATGGAGGCATTGCTACGATAATGCCGGCGTGGATCGGCAACGATGAAACACGCGTAATCTGCCAGCGGATAGAACCGAGAGAGCATCGGGCGAAGTCATTGTGCTCGGATCGTAAATTCGTGGTCGCGGCCGCAAGAAAACCGACCGAACGACGAATAGAAAGGAAGAAAGCTGCTCGTAATGCGGCTCACCGAACAACTTCGTAAAATTTTCACATATTTAGCCGACAGAAAACTTACGCAACCCGTTGGCCTGCGAATTCTCCGCGTTTATTGTGCACCGCGTCGGGGTGGGTCTAATAACAACGCGTTCGCTACCTGTCCAGCCTCGCTTTTGCACACCTTTGTTTCGTTCCTCCCATTCTATTTCATTCCGCGCCCCCGCGACCCGCCACCTCACACTATTATTTTTCTCGCAGTTAGAACTCACGCTTCTTTTAATCCTTCGAACGATTCCTTTGTGAGCGACGCGTCGGGTTTCGTTCATCCGTAATTGCGGCGGCTTCTGTTCGCATTCGGCGCCGTTAAATATCGTCTTTATTATCCAATATTCGCATCGGGCACGTTCAACGAGCGTAATTTTCTCTCTTTCGCGCCGGAGTTTACGTTTTCTGGATTTGACCAGGCCATTTCGTGGATCGGACTGGATACTTTGTGGACTCGACTCGACGTTTTCCGGATTAGACACTCCACACGTTTGGGAATCGAACCTTTCCCGGATTAAGCTCCACGTTTCCTGGATTAGTCTCCGTGTGTTGTCAAATGAAACATTTTCCGGATCAGACGCTACATTTTATGGACGCTACGCTCCACGTTCTGTGAACCGAATGATTCGTGACACGCGTGCGCAACGAAATGTACATCTTAAATCCCTGTGGACGCAATACTTTTCTTAGAAGTTTTTAAACTTCTTTCCACGTAATTGTGTGGGGAAAATTAACGTCATTCGATTCACACGCGACAGAAACACCTGTGTAGGCATAGAAAATGAAGCGCAGTTTCTTTCTTCGTTCTCCTCGTATTAACAACGTTAACAACGCAGGGATAATAATAATGACAATGACGTATAATACGCGACAATAATAACGTCGTATAATAAGAATATTGGTACAAGTGTCAATCGATCAAGAAGTCAATAGATCAATAAGTCAATAGATCAATAAGTCAACGGCCAATAAGTCAAGTAAGATCGACATGCCGAAGGTCGGGAAACCTGTTTTAGAGTTGAAATGGCTACGAGTGCAAAGTGTTAATGCTGGTGAAATGTTCGAATGAAGAAATAGAATCGCCAATTTCTTGCAAAATCGCCGATGTCCAAGAGTCTCTGACAGAAAAATGATCGGGTTACGAAAAGAGGACATCGCGGAGTGCTCCTTTCCCTGTAACCGGTCGAGGAAAAAATGTCTAAAAACAGGTCCTGAGAATATCCAGGACCAAGAGGAGCGGACAGTACGGTTCCCAGGATCCCGGAGACGATTTTTCCACGCCGGTAATGGCCGAAAGAACCTTGCGACCGACCGCAGGAACAAAAACGCGGCTCTCTCTCTCTCTCTCTCTCTCTCTCTCTCTCTCCGTTGGCGGTCGTGGTCGGCGGTTTCGCAACGTTGAAAAACCGTCTCTGCGGAGGAGGGCTCGGCCGGTCGAAAGATTATTGGGCAAATGGTTGGCTCGACACGTGCAGCGCTCCTCGTGCACAAACAACACACGGGTCCACCGGTATTGATTCGCGTGCGGCGCACAATGAGCGACAGACAGCCCTCCGATACCGTGTATCCATTAATATTTTCCGGCCGCGCCGATACAGTCCGAGACCAACGGAAGCAAATAGGAGAGAGAGAGGTGACTCCTAGATGAAAGTTGAAAGAGAGAGAGAGAGATGAGAGAACCGGTGTGCTTGTAAAACATCGATACGCGGCCGCGGCCTCCAACGGAACCCCGAAATAAAGGGAACAGAGGCGGAAAGAACCTTCGAGGTACAAGGGATACCACTGACAGCGAAAGCACGGCATCCGGAAACGATTCCCGATGAAGAGAGCAATCCTACCTTCGCCGCGAAAGCATCCGGGACGAACGCGATTTTGTTGGAATAATGTACGAGAAGAGAGACACCGACTTCGAGGTCTTCTTCGGAGAGTACAAGTCGAATTTTGTCGCGTATCTTTTCAAAATTGCTACGAAAAAGAAGATCGTTTAATATTTTTCAAAGTTCTCTGCTTCATCGAAACGTATAAACCTACCGATCAATTATGAAAAATAATTTCAACGGTGAAAAACACACACATACACACGCGACGTTCGACACCAGTCGCCAAACAATCGCCCTTTGGCGCACTATGTATAAACCCTGGCAAAAAGTTCTCGTGCCAACCGTGACAATACGAAATGATCGAAAAATATTGTTGCTTTTGAAACGTAAACCGCATAAAACGTTTTATGGTCATCCGATTGCAGTTTACGTTTCAAAAGCAACAATATTTTTAAATAATTTCGTATTGCCACGTTTGCTCGGAAACTGTTTGCCAGGGGTTGTAACAAAGAAGGTACATATATGGAGGACCAAAAAATAAGAGATACCTATTTTTTTTATATTAGCCCATTCTCGTAACTAGGGGGCGAAACCACCCCTTCGAGGTTTACAAGATGAAATGCGAAATACAGCTTAAAATTAGTTCAAAAATTATTATCAAACTCGATATATATTTAATTTGTGGCATATCTGGGCAAGTGGATAACGTTTTTGTTGTCAGTTACGCTTATCACGGGATAAGCTACCCCTAATCGTTTAAATTGTACATTTAAACGATTTCGATCGACCATTTTGATAAGTCGAAAATAATGCAATAATATTTTCGAATTCTTTCAATGTTTTTCTATTCATTTCTTTTCTGTTCTATTTTTAAATTCGTAAAAACAGTCTAATTGTCAACGGTCCGTGGACTTCTGACGGAAACGCGACGGAATAGTACGAAACAGTGCAGAATTCGGGTCCAATAAATTTCATTGTGCGCGCAAACCACCGAGATAATGCTTCTACAGGTTTTTGCGAGTTCTTCGAGCCAATATACGAGATTGGATCGATGGAACGGTTGCGCCGGAGTCTTTTTCCGGCGATTCCGGTTGGTGCCATATGCGGCTCTTTTTAGAGCATTGGTTTATTATTCTGCTTTCGCGGTTCGCGCATAGAGGAGAGAGAAGAAATTTCTGGCCGCCGCAGAATCGCGGCTCGGGGGAACTTTAATTTCGACGGAGGATCTCGCCGCGGCGAGATATGCCTAGCCACCTCTCTGCCTTTTCGGTTTTCCCTCGGTCTTTCTCTCGTCGTTTTTCGACTTCGCGCCGAGAAAAAGAGAAATTGATCTTTCCCCTCTGTCCCGTGTCAAACGCGCGCGGAGGCATCGCGGGAAACGCGGCTGACAGACCGGGAACTTCGCGAACGTGAGAGCTGGCGACGGGATTTCGAAGCTGATAGAACGTATTAAGAGTGACGTGGGGGAGCAGACACTGACGTCTCCTTTGTCGAGTCGCCCGTTTATAAACTAGTTTCGAAACAGAAGTTAAAAACTCGCGTATTATACCGCGCCGGGGGCTCCACTTAATTGTGTCTTACGCTGTTACACGTGCAATCAAGCCGCGTTAGTTCCACAGTTCAAGCAACCATCGTCGACAGTGGTAACCGTCTTTGTTAACTATCCGCACTCGTGACCTTTCTCGCCGTTTGACACGTGGCAATAAGTATACGGCCAAGCGAGCCACAGGAAATCGTTTATAGATGCTGTCTTCGAGACGCTCTATAACTAATCGGACACGCGGTGGCTCGCTCAACCGATCACACACCGTTTCGAACGATTAACCTTTTTTTCGAAATGGAACCAGACGAGTTACGTTTTTTTTTCTTTTTTTTTGGAAATGTTAGAGAGACCGGTTTCCTAGACAACGTCTACAAATGTTTTTTAAGAACCTCGATTTCTCGGAATGGCGAAACCGTTTTATCTGAGCCTATAACGAAAATGAAAAGAAAAGCATTTTGTGGATTTCGGTGACTTATGTGACTGAAAAATGTAAAAATTACCTGTTTTTTTTATCGACATTCGTGAAAAAACAGCTTTTTTCACGAAATTTCAACGATAACGTGCGAATATCGGAAGAATTAAGAGTATTGATAAGAGAGTATCAAGAGTATTAAGAATTAAAGAGTATCGAGATACGTTACTTTCGATTTGCTAAAAGTATTGCAAATAAAAAAGACAATTTTTATTTAGAATAAAGGTTGACAATCTAATCGACATCAACAATATCCAGCTAGTTTCCCCATTTTTATGTGATATTAACCCTTTGCGGTCGAAGCTATTCGAATTCGAAATCCAAAACATGATTTCTGATCTACAGTAGTTCTATTTTATATAATTTATTGCGACTTATGCGCATGAAATTGAGCCTGTTGACAAGTACGATGCAATTTTAATAGTTTCTTTTCAAGTAGAAACGAGTCCGATGCTCTTAGAATGATTTTGAAAAATGGTACACCAATTTTTAGTGGCGCCTCAGAGTCGCCATTCGAGTGCAAAGGGTTAATGTTAATTCCTCACGCTACGATTTCTTTCATTAACGCTTTCTTGTCCTTAATAATTGTCCTTACAAAAAGAAACAATTTGTTGACTTTGTTCAATTACTTCTATGTCTAAATTTTGATTAGAATGAATAGCATTCATATTCGAAACGTTCGCTATCAGCGTCACATATTTGTAACGACCACGATTTTGTGCTTCCCGTAAAGAACGTCGAACTAATTTTGTGAATATAGTTATAATAAATTGTTTAAAAGTGGACAGGGGGGATGTATTTAATAAGATAAATAGAATAAATATAAGAGAGTATATAAGCTAGTGACGCTGGTAGCGGACGCGTTAATAGATTATGTATGCAATCTTGATCGCGGGTCTGACTCGTTACAGTGCAAGGGGTTAAACATTCGTTTGTCATTGTTCTTCGGGCAGAAGCGTAGAAGATCGCGGTCTCTTCGTTCGCTATCGGGGAATTGCGACAGAATGACGGAGAACTCCGTTCGGACGCGTCGAAACGCGATGAATGAACGGAACTGTTCCGTGCACACTGTTCGCTCCGCGGCGAGGTGCGAAAAAATTCCGCAGCTTTTNAAGTATACGGCCAAGCGAGCCACAGGAAATCGTTTATAGATGCTGTCTTCGAGACGCTCTATAACTAATCGGACACGCGGTGGCTCGCTCAACCGATCACACACCGTTTCGAACGATTAACCTTTTTTTCGAAATGGAACCAGACGAGTTACGTTTTTTTTTCTTTTTTTTTGGAAATGTTAGAGAGACCGGTTTCCTAGACAACGTCTACAAATGTTTTTTAAGAACCTCGATTTCTCGGAATGGCGAAACCGTTTTATCTGAGCCTATAACGAAAATGAAAAGAAAAGCATTTTGTGGATTTCGGTGACTTATGTGACTGAAAAATGTAAAAATTACCTGTTTTTTTTATCGACATTCGTGAAAAAACAGCTTTTTTCACGAAATTTCAACGATAACGTGCGAATATCGGAAGAATTAAGAGTATTGATAAGAGAGTATCAAGAGTATTAAGAATTAAAGAGTATCGAGATACGTTACTTTCGATTTGCTAAAAGTATTGCAAATAAAAAAGACAATTTTTATTTAGAATAAAGGTTGACAATCTAATCGACATCAACAATATCCAGCTAGTTTCCCCATTTTTATGTGATATTAACCCTTTGCGGTCGAAGCTATTCGAATTCGAAATCCAAAACATGATTTCTGATCTACAGTAGTTCTATTTTATATAATTTATTGCGACTTATGCGCATGAAATTGAGCCTGTTGACAAGTACGATGCAATTTTAATAGTTTCTTTTCAAGTAGAAACGAGTCCGATGCTCTTAGAATGATTTTGAAAAATGGTACACCAATTTTTAGTGGCGCCTCAGAGTCGCCATTCGAGTGCAAAGGGTTAATGTTAATTCCTCACGCTACGATTTCTTTCATTAACGCTTTCTTGTCCTTAATAATTGTCCTTACAAAAAGAAACAATTTGTTGACTTTGTTCAATTACTTCTATGTCTAAATTTTGATTAGAATGAATAGCATTCATATTCGAAACGTTCGCTATCAGCGTCACATATTTGTAACGACCACGATTTTGTGCTTCCCGTAAAGAACGTCGAACTAATTTTGTGAATATAGTTATAATAAATTGTTTAAAAGTGGACAGGGGGGATGTATTTAATAAGATAAATAGAATAAATATAAGAGAGTATATAAGCTAGTGACGCTGGTAGCGGACGCGTTAATAGATTATGTATGCAATCTTGATCGCGGGTCTGACTCGTTACAGTGCAAGGGGTTAAACATTCGTTTGTCATTGTTCTTCGGGCAGAAGCGTAGAAGATCGCGGTCTCTTCGTTCGCTATCGGGGAATTGCGACAGAATGACGGAGAACTCCGTTCGGACGCGTCGAAACGCGATGAATGAACGGAACTGTTCCGTGCACACTGTTCGCTCCGCGGCGAGGTGCGAAAAAATTCCGCAGCTTTTGAAGAATCGCGGAACCGTTTCCGCGGGCACTGTCAATGAGCTTCTCTCTCGCCGGCCGCGGCGTTCCTATACATATTGTTTATAGCCGCGCGACGTCTTATTACGTCCTCATTTCCTAAGTCTGGTCTCCGCGCGCCGGCGCTGTATGAGTAATTAAGGAGCGTGCAATTAGAGACATTCTAGCCGAAATGAGTAATGAGTTTCAACCGGTGGATGACACAGGTAACGCAAACACGGAAAATTCGCGGGGCCGCTTCGGGATTGACGCTTTCGCGTCTTCTAAATGGACATCGCCTAATGTCGTTGAACCCCTCGGGCTAATTGAAAGTGCCGCGTCTGGAGAATCGGTAATTAGACACCGTTCGAAATCAATCTGCCGATCTGTCTTTCCTTCGACAGGTTTCTCGTTAAATCGTCCGTGAAACGTCGAGCCTCCTTCAGTTTTTTTTCTAAATAAAACTGTACTTTATACGATAATTATACTCATTTCATTTTCATTGGAACATGAACCGGTATATGTAACGCTGGTATGAAAATTTTACCGGTATTAAGCCTTCGAGTAACAAAAATTCAACAGAGAAATTTATTTGTAATCGCTGTTTACGTTATAAATCCATATAATTTAAATTTTTATAATAAAACATATTATATAATAAATTCTTCTAATATACGCTTTTATAACATAAACGGAGATTATAAATAAATTTTCTTATTCAATTTTTATTAATTTATGTCACTAATAAGCAGCTGTGTACGTGGAAAATAAAATAATTCGCAGAGTTGTTTGTTAATAGCAAGAGACGTTAATTAGAATCGTATAAAAAAATCATTTTATGTTCCTGACTTGTTGCACAACAAAGTCGAAAAGATTTTTCGATCGTATCTAGCATAGTTATATGAGGAAAACAAATTTTTGATTGAGACATTGAGACATTAGGTGAACTTTTTGGAAGACACAAAAAACAATTGAAATGAATTCACATTAACATGAGGAAACAATTTATTCTAGTCAAAACTCGTGAATACCGGCTGCATATTTCTAAATAGTTGTGCAACGAGGTTCGCTAATAATTAGACTGCGGTTTTTAGAAGAAACTGAAACTGTTGTCATGGTAATTATCATGTTAATTATTTCTGTGTTTTGCATAAAGTACCGCAGTTTACTAATATAACACTCCAATGGCGTGATAGTCGAGAAATGCAGAAAAGAAACGGGAACGTTGCGTAATCGTATCAGATTTTCAAGTGCACAACACGAAACTGATTTCGTTGCGGATAGGTCTCGGCTTGAATCATCGTCCATCATCTAAATAGTCATAAAAATAGTCCGCGCGAATCGCGTCGAAAAATTGAATTATCCAAGGTTCGAATCAGCAAATTGGTGTTTTCGAACTCTTTTCATCTTCTGCATAAAATGCGCAGTCTAGTTATGTCACTTCGGGTAAAACGATCTCTCGAACGGCGCGGAAGAACACTATCTCAGTGGCCCGACATCGTTCTGCAGCGAACTGCGCCGGGGAATGTCGGGAAATTTGAAAAATGCCTGTCCGATCGAGCTCCGCGGGTCCCAATTTCCTGCCGGCTGAATCACCTATATTTTATTGCGCTGCTATAAATCATATTACCGGCGGATCCGCCAGCATTATTCACCGGCGGCGCGTGTTGTGGACCGCATGCACAAGTTTCCGAAGTTTTATTTTTTTTCCCCGTGGAAAACACGCCCGTCGCGTATTTTCGTGGGCGGATGACGGATATCCCTTCTTCTGAGAGCGCCGTGTTCATACCTCTAAATTTTTGTTGAAAAAACATTTTTTTGGTGCTGCGAAAATCTAGGAGACAGCAGACATAAAGGAAATAACTTCTTCGGGATCTTGAACTAATCAGATTACTTTTATGCTAAAAATTCTGTCTGTTGCAAGTAGACTGAATTGAAAATACTAGTTGAAAATACAAATTTTCAGCGCCGATAGCAAGAAATAGGAAATAAATTGCAGGTTAATTCTGTCTTTAATCATTTGAATAGATTAAAAATAACACGTTGACATTTTTCGATTCTTTTAAACTTCCCATCGTTTCAAATTGCAACTACTCAATTTTATCATAAATGCGTAGAACGTTCCTTTGTCACTAGACTGTGCGGATTTTATCAGTTTATCGTACTATTTTTACCCTATCACACAGCTATTAAAGGGAAAAATCGATTTTATATTGCTTGCAATTAATGTAGCACATTTTCATTTTGCATAAAAATTCGCGGTGTTGGCCGCAACGTTCGTCACACGTGTGTATAACATTATTCTCCGAACAGATTTAAACTGCTTTAAAATCACGGAACTTTTTTGTAGTCGCGACGTAGCGTTAATGGATTAATCTTGCATACTGCGACTACTACATTTTGCAATAAGTGCACAATACTTGCAGTGTCGTCGTGGCAGAGGTTACCATCAAGCAACAATTAGTTATTTTTAAAGCGAGGAGCTGCATCAACGATACGCGCGATATGTACAATCCGAGCTGATGAAATGCAAAGTTATCGCAACGAAACAGAATCGAGCCGAACGGAGCAAGAGCAATAAAAGCCGGATAAAAAGTTTAGAATAATCTGCGCAAGATAGATAAAAACTGTTCAAATTAAAAATGTGTAAGAGATAAGCGTGGAACCGTATGCCCGCGACTTTATTGAATAAACATGAAGATTTCGGTTTCAAAAATGCCACGGTACGACCAGCATGACATTAATCCACGGATGAATTCTAACACGGCACCATTATTTCTCTTGCCAACTGTCCTCGCGATTTCAATATTTTATCAAACGCAGACCCTCCATCAAATACGAACAGCGTCGCGAAGAATATATGTACATTTCCTAGGTAGCTAGGTGTTCGAGAAATAGCACAATACAAAAACTCGATCCGACTTTCTTCTTCGCGCGAACTATGAAATCGTGGACGTCACGCGTGTGACGCTGACAGCGAACGCGTTGATTAATATTAATGTGTCCGCGGATACGTCCGTAATTGAAGACTTGTAGGAAACGCTGTAACCGCTTAATTTTCTACGTGCTGGGAACATCGCGGAGTATCCTTTTCTGGAACGTTGTGCTCGAAAACAAGGTATGTACAGTTCGACGAAGTATGTATATTTCTTACTGTTCGTTCACGTTCCTAAACAACGACATGTATGCCGGTGCATACGTCATTTTGTAACGGTACAATTCTATCGGAGAATTTGTGTTTTTGCTCCGAATTTCGGCGTGAAATCGTTTTACTTGAACGTGCAAAATGATGGCGAAAAATCTGAATAAATGTAGTGTTGTCATTTTTCTCGATCACGTTCAGTTTTGCGGTAGTTGCATTAATTCTTCTACGTTCTTTGGAGCTGATCGTTTTCGTCACACTTTTATCTTGTCCCTTCCTTGGATTATCATTTTCACAGCTTTCGATGAAAAGCAGGCGAAGATTTTCCAAAATCTCAAGGATACTTTTTCCAGAGAGCTACATTATGCAGCGAAGCCTTAGTCTCTCTCAACGGTTAAATTAAGTACTGCATCGTGATGTTATTAATAAAACAAGATGTTCGGTCCTGATGTCGTTAATATGGTAACGTTCGTTCACAAAGGGCTAAAGGATGAATAAAATTCTGACGATTAAAACGAATGGATCCCTTGTCCTCGGTAATCATTTAACAGAAAAAAGGAAAAGTTGGCGGTGTCTTCGAGAAGGAGTGTTCGATAATTGGACACGTCGGTGTCAGCGGTAGCCACAAGCTCTCTCGCTATAGGCTCGAATAATAGCAGAGGAACCCGTTTTCTCTGCCGAAACTTCGAAGAAACCGAAACCCGTCCGTTGAACCCTCAACGTCGGACAGGGTTGCTGCAACAGATTTCAGTTTAACGATCCGTGGCGACGCTTACGTGGCCATCTACTTTGTACCACGTCCGGAATACATACCTCTGCGTACTCGTACCGGCTCGCAATTGGTGTCGTTCTCACAGACATTGACGATACTCTCTTTGTTCGTTCTCCGTCTCTTACTTTTTCCTCTTTCTCTTTCTTCTTCTAGCTCTCCCTTTCTGGACACGAAGCGTGTTATGCCCTCGGATATAAGCCAAGCATGGCAGGCAGCTATGTGCCGGGACAGACCTTGCTTCTGCGATTGCTACATGGGAGAGACATGGTGTCTCGAGTACGAGCCGGGGATATAGGAAACAGCTGCTCGGATCCGGAGAGAATATCCGCGGAGAAACGTTTCGTTGAACCCTTCGTGTTTAACCCCCTCTCGCCTCTCCCCGTAACCAGTCGGCGTCCTGGCAAAAAGGTCGAAATCTGGGTAGCTGCAAGTTGCTAAATACTGTCCTTATGGTTGCCGACTGGCATTCGTCGTCGAGCTTCTCCGGACGCGATCGATCGCTAGAGAAATTCGAGATTTTCGGAGCGGCGACTAGTATGCTCAACTTTCAGAATTTTTCCTGTCCTAGATACGCAAGATACAGGAACGATTCTTGCATAGAATTATTCCGCAGACTTTCCCGAATGCAATGGTATATTTGTTGATTACATTATGAACGCGTGAATGTGTTTAAACAACGTTTAAAGGGATGCCTTCAAACGAACAATCTCGTTCGAAATATCGAAGTATTCCGATCTATAAGAATTATCTGTTTATTATTGAAACGCAAAATTGCTGTAAGCGTTTATTTTATTTAATCTTAATTGGCGGAGGAAAGATTTTTTCATTGCAAGTATAATTATAGTATATTCGAATTCATCTTTCTTGCTTCCTCTTTCGTATTTTCCTGCAACACTTTTTTCTTCATCTTATAAATATATTTTTCATTTTTAGATCAAATATATTAAATAGATCTCGACTCTAAATAGTCAAAATCGAGGAAAAAGCGAACAAAAAGCGCGATACAGAATTCGCAAGAGAACGGATCCGAGTAATAGATTTACACTGTTCGGAGTTTGTTCTAAAAAGGATAGCCGCTAAAAACGAGAAAACGTAATTGCATCGAGGCGAACGTACGGCTCAAAGTATTTTCGTTCCTCCACTGCAGAACTGGTATTACCTCAGTTATAGCATTCGGTAAACCGAAGAAGAATTCACTGGTAATGTCTTCCTCCCGAGAAACATTATGAAAGAAGTTTGTAATTCACTGTATTCCGCAGTGTCCGCAGCTGAAACTCGCCAGTAACTACAGTCCTGCATTATAAATCGCTGCTCCTCGTCCCCAAGTTATGGGACACCTTTGCAATTGATTGCGCGTAGTGTGGATGAAAATAGAAGTACACTTCCGGCGCGGCGGTGCCGGCAGATTGAAGGGACAGAGGCGAAGATAAATTATTTTCGAACTTTCCATTGTTCCTCATTAATGTAGCCGTTATTAATTCCCGGGGACCGACGAAGACTAATTTTCTCATCCGACTTCCTGACGCGGGTTCCTTCGAGGAACGTGACGCAATCGGACTTTCTCCCGGCCCGATCGACGGGCATATTCGAGCCGCGTGGTTCCCGGCCGTATAAATTCATAACAAAACATTGTTGCAGCCGATCGTGGCATTGGATTTGCCCGGGAGGCGGACTCTTTATTTCCTGTGCTCGAGTGCGCGCCTTCGACGGAACGGTTTGTCGGAGACGAAATAAGTAGAAGGAAGTTTCCCGAAGGGCGGCCGCCCCCCTCGCGCCGGTGCAGCAAAGTTTTAACCATAGACCGGAGCTTTTCAATAAAAATACGATCGAAATATATTCGCCGAAGCTCCTCGTTTATGCGTAATTCACCGGAACAATTTAGATTAGCGGACGAGCAAGCGGTCTTCTGCCATCCGACAGCGATATCGATCGCTGACCGCATAAATAATATAATTCCGAGCATTATTTATCGACGACCACTTAACCCTTCGCGGGACTCAATTATTTTTAAAGTTCGCCCGAGCCGGATTTAAACGTGCCCTGGTCTCAGCGAATTTAACACGGACAAAAATTATTGGTAAAAAGTCCTCGTACAGTAAATTTCCCATCCTCGACAAATTGTCGATGTTCGAACCTTTGAAATGAAATGTCCCTTCTCGAGGAACATAACACTGCTGATAACCATGGCATCTCAGGATTAAACATTTCTGTTCTGCTTAGTCTGTATCGATATAATTTTATATCAAACTCTATTTAACACTTGGTTTACTATGATAAAAAAAACGAAAACGTATCGGAGTTGGACGAAATTCTAATAGCTTGAATGTCGATGATTTGTTGAAAATCAAAAATATAGAGAATACGGAAGAACTTGCAGTGTCAAAGGTAGTTCGAGCTAAGAATTCAGCGAAAACACGAACCGTCGAAGGCACCGTGTATATCCGGCTCGATCGACGTGCTCTCCGACAGCCAAAATGGCGGACGGTCGTGCTCGAGGAAATACTGAAAATATGAAATCTCCGTCTGTTTTTCTCAGTTTCCTTCGGATACGGGAACGAGAACACTGGCGCTGACGTGACTCGCGATGGGGTTCAAAGAAATAGTATTTATAGGATCGAAATTGAATCAGGCCGCCGTTGAATCGGAGCTATTTAAATATAATACACTTCGAGAGAGTGTGCTCGATCTTTTTAACGGTGGCCCGATGGTTTCGGCTGGATCGATGCTTGTCAATTACCTGATTCAGCGAAATTTCATTTCTCTGTGCTTCTAACGCGATTCGAACACGCTGTTTGTGAATTTTTCTGGTCGATCATTGATGCTATCTGAGCACCCAATGCAAATTTTACCTAACAATTTTATCAGTTTTTGTACCCGAAAATGAATTTAGCAGGATTAATATAATATAATATATAATTAAATATAATAATAATATATAATATATATATATAATAATAATATAATAATAATATATCATTAAATAAATATAATATAATATATAATTAAAGAAGATCCTTTTACTGTATTGATTCATTTCGAAACGTTTGTTGTCTCGGAAGTATAACATTTGTGATCATTCGATAGGAAGTGCATATAATGTAAACGCATTAACACTCTGACTGCCACGTTTCCCATACGCAGCTGAAGGGATTATTTGCTCATATTTTTAAGAATTAATTTTCACGCTAATCTAAGTAATTTATCCAATCATCGTAATTTCATTAAAATCCGAAGAACATAAGAGTGTTAGAAAAGTAATCGATGTCTTGCAAAACTTTTCTTTTTAATTTTAATTCGATTAAATGAAATACTTAAACTTTACGAAATGTTTGCGATTGTTATCGTGGCAGTTAAAGTGTTAAAACAGCTTCACTCAGTGCTGCATAAATTCATGTTCTGTTGTACGATGAATAGATTTTATGCGAATTTTATGGACCCATAAAAAGATAAGTAGATGCAGATTAAGACGACAGAATGATTAGAAGCGTTCAGTTAAATATTTATTCAGCAGGCTAAAGTTATTAGAGAAATAAGGGAAAGTTAACGTAAGAAATTTTGATTTTGGATAAAGATCCACAATAATAAATCTTGTCTGTTAAATGCTGCGAGACTTTTAATTCTGTTCAGCAAGTACGTGCCAAATTAAAAATAATTGGAAGGCGAAAATCGTGTCGCAGGGCGAGAAATATTTTTTCGTGCATTAAAATAGACCAGCTTTTGACCCCAGGACGACTTCCGCTCGGTTGGAGTCCTGGCTTTTCCCTGAGACCCGCCATCCCGCCCACACCCCATAGATATTATCAAGCTCGAATTAGGTGGGTTCGCGAGGAAAAGCTGTGGGGATAAAAAATCGTGTTGACTATAAAAATACTATGACGGCCTTCGTGAATAGGGGCGGACAGGCAAATGGCGCGTGAGTAATCCAAAAGCAAGAGTGGTCGACAATTTTGGATGGAGGTGTTCGCACGCGGTGGCCGATCGAAATTATTTTCGGATAATATTCGATTGTGAAAGCTTTATCGGCGAAGAGTTTATTACAGAATTCTGCGGAACTTTCATTTGACGGCAGATTGGTGTGGAAGCAAGACAACTGACGAAGAAGAAGAATATTATCGGCCANTAATATATCATTAAATAAATATAATATAATATATAATTAAAGAAGATCCTTTTACTGTATTGATTCATTTCGAAACGTTTGTTGTCTCGGAAGTATAACATTTGTGATCATTCGATAGGAAGTGCATATAATGTAAACGCATTAACACTCTGACTGCCACGTTTCCCATACGCAGCTGAAGGGATTATTTGCTCATATTTTTAAGAATTAATTTTCACGCTAATCTAAGTAATTTATCCAATCATCGTAATTTCATTAAAATCCGAAGAACATAAGAGTGTTAGAAAAGTAATCGATGTCTTGCAAAACTTTTCTTTTTAATTTTAATTCGATTAAATGAAATACTTAAACTTTACGAAATGTTTGCGATTGTTATCGTGGCAGTTAAAGTGTTAAAACAGCTTCACTCAGTGCTGCATAAATTCATGTTCTGTTGTACGATGAATAGATTTTATGCGAATTTTATGGACCCATAAAAAGATAAGTAGATGCAGATTAAGACGACAGAATGATTAGAAGCGTTCAGTTAAATATTTATTCAGCAGGCTAAAGTTATTAGAGAAATAAGGGAAAGTTAACGTAAGAAATTTTGATTTTGGATAAAGATCCACAATAATAAATCTTGTCTGTTAAATGCTGCGAGACTTTTAATTCTGTTCAGCAAGTACGTGCCAAATTAAAAATAATTGGAAGGCGAAAATCGTGTCGCAGGGCGAGAAATATTTTTTCGTGCATTAAAATAGACCAGCTTTTGACCCCAGGACGACTTCCGCTCGGTTGGAGTCCTGGCTTTTCCCTGAGACCCGCCATCCCGCCCACACCCCATAGATATTATCAAGCTCGAATTAGGTGGGTTCGCGAGGAAAAGCTGTGGGGATAAAAAATCGTGTTGACTATAAAAATACTATGACGGCCTTCGTGAATAGGGGCGGACAGGCAAATGGCGCGTGAGTAATCCAAAAGCAAGAGTGGTCGACAATTTTGGATGGAGGTGTTCGCACGCGGTGGCCGATCGAAATTATTTTCGGATAATATTCGATTGTGAAAGCTTTATCGGCGAAGAGTTTATTACAGAATTCTGCGGAACTTTCATTTGACGGCAGATTGGTGTGGAAGCAAGACAACTGACGAAGAAGAAGAATATTATCGGCCAAGAGATGTGAAAAATAAAAGCACATGGTGTAATCGCTAAGTACTTCGATAACTGTAGCATATTTTCTGAGACGAATCTTGTTCTGTATCTCAAAGACAAATATTATTGATATTAAACGTAAGAAACATTCAAGAAAATTAAACGAAACTGACATTTTTCTTTCGATAGTTTCAATAAGTTGAAAACACAATATAACAATGTTATATTCACATTCGCTTAATTTTACTTTACAATCTAATTTGGTATTTAACCTACTTAATTTTTGTGATAAATGCATAAAATCCACGGTCTACTTACGACAATGAGAAAATAAATTCAGACTTGTCATTTCTAC